TTTGAAACCAACAAGCGACCGCGCTCTAAGTTAAAGACGGTTTAAGAAACAAGATTCGCAACGCTGCAATGTTAAATCACTGGTCGGTCGCTCGAATGTAAATAATGCAGTCGTAAAAGTTAAAACATACGGTTGTTAAATAACTTATGTTTGGTAGGATTCTTTTTAAAACTTTTCTGGCAAACCATGCATGATCCGACGCGACGTGAGGTAATAGGGTCATACTAGTGACATATCACGCTTAGAAACTTCTTGGCAAATTCCGCGGGTACCCGGGATTCGAGACTTGATATATGGGGATAAGCATGGGTTTATGTCACTCATGAATAGAACTCATAAGTTAATTCCATTTGAAAGAATAACATCGATCCATTGTTACAGCTTCGCTGGGTGAAAATGCTAATCTAAAAACACAACTTCGTGTTCATAAGAGTACCATTTTCTAAAGCCCGCTGATTTGCTCGCGTGGTAAATAGTACTATATATATATATATATATATATATATATATATATATATATATATATATATATATATCTATACGTATATACTCTTTTTCCTAATAATTTTCCAATACTATAAGGAAGTATCAAACATTCTGATTCATAAATTTTCACAATTAATACTAGCTACTTCGCTTTGCTCGAGCTAATCCATAGGGTTAAATTGTTAAGGAATAGATATCAAATATACAAATAAAAAATCTTTTTTGGACACAGAACCAGAATGGAGAGAAATGGTTTATTTATATAGAAAATTATGATTAAGCGGAGATACATAATAATGAAGTCAATTCAATTCAATTTTCTGGATTCAAAAATAATGAAGACACTGATTTTTAAAATAACAAATAATACAATTTCGTAGATAAATAAAGGAAGTTTCACATTTAGAAATTTCCACGTAAATATCGAAGGCTCCATGGCTTCCAGTAAACGGGCCGGCGAGTAAGGAAATCTCTACTCCTTGCCAAAGCAAATATTGGTTAATTAAGTGTAACCCTACAGGCAGTTAGCTTGGGTTATGTTTGAGTTGGAATCGAGTTAAAAATCAGTGCCTATAATATCTTGGTAGTCCTTTCCTTCTTGTAAATTGTGTGGATTTTTTTTTATTGGCTAATTTACATGTAATAAAAAGGTTTATTAAGGATTTACTCATTTTTTTTTAGTAATTCAATATGTTTTAATGATCTCATTTTATCGATCTCGAATCTTCTTCGTGTCTTCTCCATTCTACGTGATATTGACGAAATAATCTGTGCTCAACCGGTACGCTTTGAAGCCGTTCACAAGAAAATTGAATTGAATTGAATGCATGTAATAAATTAAAGTATTATATTTATATTTAGATATTTATTTCACGTTGTAATAAACGAAATAGCTTTTTAAGAGTAATATTTATTGTACAATTTAAGGATGTCTGAAAAATTTTGGATAATATAAATTATTTCGCTTGATAATTACTCTACTGCTAGATTGGATTTATCTATCAATCTATGAATGGTACACAAACTTAAAGTAACTATCACATTTCGACCGACTTCGAATAGAGAAAGTACTATGAAGTAAGTTATGTACCTACGCGATATTTTTTTCACAAATTATGAACCGATTTTCATGATTCCTTTTTTGTATTAATCCATACTAATATTATAAATGTGAAAGTTTGTGAGGATGTATGGATGCTGTTCCGATTTCACGCCAAGACGGCTGAACAGATTTCGATGAAATTTGGCACAGAGATAGATTATAATATAAAATAGCACAAAGGTTAATTTTTATCCCGAAAAAATGTACGATTGTATTGAAATAATTACCTGTATAGTCGTATTTTTAAATCAATTAGGATATATTAGTAAAGATCGTCTTCTATAAACTAGTTCTCAATTTATTGTTAGCAAATTTATGCCCGCTGGTTTTTTTTTATGGTAAGTGGGACAGGGATCAAAGGTAGCCTATGTCCGTGCCCAGGTTGCATTTTATGTCCTTGCCAAATTTTATCGAAATATGTTCAGCGGTTTAAGCGTGACAAGTTAAGATACAAAGCTACTTAAGTATGTTTAATATTACTATAGATTAATTTCTTAATAATAAAATATATCTTAAAGTTAAATATTTAATACAAGAAAGTTAGAGAAAGTAGTTGGTTAAAGCGTCAAAGTTAATAAGAAAGCAACATTTAGCGCTATTCGAGATCTCACAACTTTAATGAGTAAGAAATACTATAAGAGTTTCGGTCTACCTACGAGTATTTCGTTGGGAAAACAATTAATTTCACACGAAATATAATGCTAATAGAAGAATATTTTTTTTATATTTGTAACATATTCTGTCTGTTTCTTTGAAACTTTAAATAGAAATTTTGTTTTTTTTTAAATTTTCGGGTTCCATAATTATAATATAATAATAACACTACGGGACTTAGAATCAGGAGTCTGCCCGTGGCCACGGCTGGTACAACCCAGTAGAAACGTCGGGAATAAGGTATATATCCACTAACAAATTCACGCATTTAAGTTCCGTAGTGTAATAATTATTATAGAAATATCGTCGACGTCGATATCTTAGATATAAACATTTTGTTTTTAATTTAAAACGCATAAGACGACAAAGAATAACTACAAAAATGGATAGTTAAAAGTTAAATAAAAAGCCTTACGCCTAGAAAGCAACAACTATATAATTAGAACAAATAGTCCTCTCCTGGAATCGAACCTACGTATTCTGGTATGTTTAATTTATATTTTCATTTACAACGCAATATTCCTCACAATATAATATCAGACATTATGTTGTTTAAAACTTTTATATTTATACGGTGAAGCCAGTATACTATTGTACGTAGTATTGCATTTTATTGTTAATCCAGCTTTACGACTCTTCATTCTCGCGTACAGATCATGAGCAATATTTCTACCTGCCAATACTCCTGTATTGAACATTTTCGACTGTAAATATTTCAATACAATATCGTAAACCGGAAACTGTTATATTTATTTAAGACATACAATGTTTGGTAAATCATATAAAGAATAAACTACCTAGTGATTGCCGATAGTTTTGTTTGTTTTTGTTATTGAAATCTCTATCAATAAAGCTCCTGTGTGCTTAACGCGTGATTAAAACGCGATGCGTCAATGAAAAGTATAAGAAAGTCCATAATATTTTCTATTATGCGAATCTTTGAAATTTTAAATAAAACTGTATTTTCGGATTTTTTCGCGGAATTATTTTGATTTTTGTTTGCCAATGTATTGCCTGCACCATGATTGCTTAGCAGCAATCATGGTCCAGGAGAGTTATGAAATTCAATAGCAAAATTAAGGAAAGAGAAAGATTTTTTTACCTAAAAATAATTTTCAATAGCTTTATAATAATATTGATTGAATCCCTATATTGGAAATATTTTAATGAGATGTAATACGACACGACCAAAAGCCATATTTATTTATTACGTTAATTTATTTAATGAGTGGTTTGAGCAAATAGATCGAACCCATACATATATTAGGGGCATAATAACCCACATGCTTATTCAAGTTAACCCCTATATTCTAATGAACCAAACGCTTAAAAAAAATTAAAGTTTATTACGGAAATTATTTGATACTTTTATATTTCTAATAGTGTAATGTCGTGTCAAAAAGCTTCATACTTAATCTTTTATGTACGTAATAGACATACACATCGATTTGTTTATTTTATATATGTACACTAGCTACCCACCCTCGCTTCGCTCGGGTCGTCCCTAGGTTGGTTCCCCATACAAACTTTCATCCCAATTTTCATCCCCTTAAGGGATGTTTTCCAGGATAAAAAGTATTCTTTATTCTCCCCAAGGTCTCAAACTACTTTCTTACCAAATTTCATCTAAATCGGTTCAGTAGATCCAGAGATTACCCCTTACAACGTCACAAGCTCACAAACCGACAAACTCCACAAACTATACCTCTTTATAATATTAGTATAGATATATTTTATTTAGATATTCATTTTAATCCTGCAATACATATTGCAACCCTTTGCATAGTCAAAATATCGAAAACCAACAGGGACATGGAACTGTACGAACCAATTAATATTTCCCGCGAATTCGTTTGAAGTCCCAAGCAAACGCACAAATTACTCTCTAAATGCCTGTCTGCTTGTCAATGCGCAAAATAATACGCCCTCGGGCGTAAATCAAATGGAGTAAGTTATTATATAATAACATAATAATCATACAAGTACGAGTACATATGTTATTTCACTTAATGACTATATGATTGATGAGGATTACTTATAATTTGTAATATAGATAGATACTAGCGATTTACGGGTTCGATTTTCGGTTGCTCGGATGCTTCCCTAGGAAGTATTTTACAGCAATCATGGTCATATGATAGACTTATGGGATAGTCCAAAAATCAAAATAAATTCCCGAAAAAATCCAAAAAGATAGTTTTATTTAAAATGTTAATTAATTATTCGCGTAAATATAAAAAAGTATTACATATACAAGTATATACAGTGTAGAAATTGATATATTTTATTTTCATAAGTGTTACTTTAACTGGTCATGCAATGCTTGTTAGAATAAACTCGCGTTGTTAGCTGAAATACGGGATTCGTAATTCAGCTTCAGATGCTACATTTAGTGTATTAACATAACAAAAAAAACTATAAACATTTTGTTTAAAATAATTGTAATTAATTGCTTATTACTTATGTTTAAAAAAATGTATGTGTGTTAGTTACTTTTTTAACTTTACCAGAGCTAAAAACCATAAAAAATGGTTTAAGAAGGATATATTCCAACCACGTGACTGATATTTTGCAGGTGTCTATTTACCTATTGATATTATGGGATAGATTCAAAATGATTATTAATACGCAATTAAGTTTACCGAATATTTACGTGCGTGCATACGGACATATTCGTTTACTTCTACCGATAATCGAACCGACTGACTCAGCAACGTTGTCTGTTAGACAATAAGTAATGTATTTTAAAGCCGTTTCAGTAAACGACAGTGGTACGCCGCGCCGGCAGGAAAACACTGCGGCGGGTAAAATTACGTTTCCGCGACAAAAGTTGTAGCTTGAGTGGTCCTAATTTACTGAATAATTGTACTCCCTCTTAACACACGTCTAGACGCTGTTTTTCGAAACGTATAGTCGTTTTTAAACGACAATAGTAGCGTAACGTCGTATTCATCTTAATATTTATATATTGTATGGACTAATTATTACATCCTGAAATTAAACCTGCAGTGGACATTTTTGGTCTTCTATAAATGGTTTTTCTTTTAATATTGATGACGTTATCCTTTTATTCATACAGTACATTAAATTTTTTTTGAAAATTCTTATTAAACAGCCATTATTATCAATACAGAGGCCGAATCTACAGTTTTAAGAATTTTTGTCCGATTGTCTGTCTGTGACCGCGTCACGAGAAAATCACTAGACGGATTTTGATGAAATTTGGTATTATGATAGCTGGTTATCCAAGTCAACATAGAGGATATTTTTACTGCGGGAAAATATCTCATCTCTGAGAAATCTATACTAATTGTTAAAGATAAAATTATATATATTTTAATGAGTAAAAGCATTTTCAAAACTTTCTTGTTGATGAAAATGTATAGAATTGAGATTCTCACTCATGTGCGGGCAATCTATAATTGTATGTCAATAAAATAAATAAAATGATAATAATGAACTCGATGATATTGTAAAGAGCATATGTTGAGTTTCTCACCGGCTCTTATCTTGCCTGCTTTCTGAACCGGTGGTAGCCTCACAGACTAGCTAAACTGAAGCTCCTTAAATTAAATTCATTAATAGCTGCTTGTATAAGTCTTTTTGAATAAAGTTTAATTTAATTCCATTTCAATAAAATATTGACTACATTAGAAGTAATAAAATTTGCCAAAAGATGGCGCTGCCTATATATAATATTAGAACTACAAAAAGCATCTAGAAATGCATCTGAGAGAAGCGAGGTTTAGTCGCTAGTGTTGCATAATCCAATTCTAAAACGAATATACAGCTTAAATAGTTGTATAGGGTAGGTAAGGGGTAAACGATGTTCGATTGCACTTGATTTGTTGAAATAACCCCCGCAACCGAGACACGGGGGAAATCTTGCCGCCGTGGTGATGTGGAAAATTCATAAACGTACAGTGTTTCATAAATTTTTCTCATTTTCTTTACGAATGTTATTTTAAAACGTATAAGTGTATATATTTTTATTATCTTTTTGACTCATAGGTTCTTGTTTCGGTATAGGATTGGAGATTCGATTCTTGTATATGTCGCAATTCATTCATTCATTGTAATTACAATATGGATTTCAATCGTCTCCATTACTTACAATATCACGGATTTTTAGTTACAATATATTTTCACTAAACACATTCAGAAATTCTTATCAATTAGAAGCGTTCTTTGCAACATCAACCTCTTCTTCTTCCGGCCTTTTCCCATCTTTATTTGGGGTCGGCTCTCCTAATCATTCTTCTCCAGACATGTCTTTCCTGGGTCGTCCTTGGGTCAACATTGTTGTTTTCCATGTCTTTCCTAACTACAGACATCCACGTAAGTCGGGGTCTTCCGCGCTGTTTGGGTCCTGACTTGTGATCGAGCACTTTTCTGGTCATGTGATCTACCGGCCTTCTCATGACATGGCCGTACCATCGTAGTCTTGCTTCTGCTAACTTATCCTGTATCGGTCGAACCTTCAAAGTTCCTCTGATGTAAAGGTTTGACACTTTGTCCAAAAGAGTGACTCCGGCCGACCACCTGAGCATTCTCATTTCGGCGACGTGTAGTTTGTCGGCTTGTTGTTTCTTGAGCGGCCAGCATTCCGCTCCGTATGTCATTGCGGATCTTATTGCGGTTTTGTATACTTTGCCTTTGACGCGTATTGGCATTCTTGGATCACAAAGCACTCCTGTTAGCTCTCTCCACTTAAGCCACCCAGCGTTTCTACGGTGCGCGACGTCTGCGTCGATACTGCCGTCGTTTGTCAACACACTGCCTAGGTACTTAAAGCTCTCTACAGTTTTGAGCGCCGTATTCTGCAGGTACATGATATGTTTGGTGTTGCTATCTGAAAATTTACAGTGCATGTACTCGGTCTTCTCTCTACTGATCTTTAGCCCGGCTCTTTCTAAGGTTGATCTCCATTTTTCCAGCGTTTTCTGGAGGGCTATTGGGTCTTTGTCAATGAGGACTACATCGTCCGCATAAAGTATACTCCATGGTATGGGTTGCTGTATCTCAGATGTAAGGTAGTCCATGACAAGGTTGAACAATAGCGGGCTTAGAGCTGATCCCTGGTGGACGCCCACCTCCACACCGAATTCCTTGCTGATTCCTGCTGGACACCGTACCTTTGCCGAGACGCTGTCATACATGTCAGCCACCATTTGCACATAACATTCGGGTACCATCTTTGCTCGTAATGCCTGCCAAATCAGTGGTCTTGGGATGCAATCAAAAGCTTTTTCTAGATCTATAAAAACCATGTGGAGGTCTTTCTTATCGTCCCTGTGGGATTCCATTAGGATGCGAATAGTGTGGATCGCATCCGTGGTTGACTTTCCTGTGACGAACCCACACTGGTTTTCTGTGACGCTCGTTATCTGGCGTAGCCTCCGGTTCATCACTCGTTCCCATATTTTGAGGCTATGTGGCAGCAGTTTTATGGCTCTATAGTTCCCGCAGAGTCGAATATCGCCTTTATTTTTATAGAATGGAACCAGAAAGCTTTTTTTCCATGACTGAGGGATGCCATCAGATGGTAGTTTGTTGAACAGCGTGGTTAAAAAGTACACTCCATCGTCTCCCAGTTTCTTCCACAGCTCCGCTGGCAGATCATCAGGACCAGTTGCCTTATTATTAGCCATTTGGCTTAACGCTAATTTGACTTCTTCCGGCGTAATGACAGGCCATGGACCTTTCACTGTTGGAAGCTCCATTATTGGTTCACAGGGGTGTGTCTCGTTCAACAATTTAGCGTAGTATTCCCTCCATCTATCATTTATATCCGAGTCTGATGTTAAGAGGTTTCCTTGCAGGTCTTTGATGTACTTAACTGCTCGAGTGTCTTGTGTATCTCGATGTCTTTGTTTGGCAATTTTAAACAGCTGTTTATCATTGTTAGCATTTTCTAGCTTAGCATAAAAACCTTCCCTGCTTCTAGCTCTGATCTGCGCCACCGCGCGTTTGGTTTCCCTCTTTGCGTCTCGGTATGTTGTCCGGTCGTCATTGCTCTTTGTACTTTGCCAGATCCTGAAGAGGGTTTTCTTGGATCTGATCTTTTCTTGGACCTCCGGGTCCCATAGTATTGGGTTTTTGTTCTCCCTTGAAAGTCCATTTGAGATGCCTAGGTAGCTTGTGGCTTTCTGGATGCTGCGCTCGTGAAACTCATTCCACATTGTGTTTGCGTCTTTGCCTGGTTGGATCTCGTAAATGTACTCTTTCAGGTCTGAACATAGTTTTTCACCCTCTTCTTGATCTAGTTTATACCAGCGTACTTTAGGAACTCTAGCTGTTTTGACTCTAATTGGTCTTTGTGCTATAAAATCCGCAACTAGGAGTCGATGTTGAGATGTTAGTGGTTCACCAGGTATTACCTTACAGTTTTTAAAGGACTTTAGCAGTTTCCTGTCCGCTAGGATGTAATCCACCTGTGTGCATTTGTCTCCACTCTTATATGTTATCAAGTGTTCGTTTGTTTTGGTGAAGAAGGTGTTGACAATTGCCATATTAAATGTGTACGCGAAATTTAAAATATCATCACCCTGGGAGTTTTTATCCCCATAACCCTGGTTACCGTGAATTTCCCTAAAGGAGTCGTTCGTGATTTGTCCCACGTGCCCATTAAAATCTGCTCCGATGTATTTTGACTCCGTTTTTGGTATGGATTGAGTCAGGTCGTGAAGATCGTCCCAGAAAGCTTGTTTTTCTGGTTGTGGCAACCCTGTTTGTGGAGCATACGCTGATATAACATTCATGCATGGTTGGTTATCAAGTGCGAACTTAATTGCTATAATTCGATCACTGACTCTATTCACGTCTACTATACGGTTCTGGAAAGTTTTGTCTACTACTATGCCGACGCCGTTCTGATTTGTCTTCGTTCCGTTGTAAATGAACTTGTAGTCGTTACCAATATTGCGCGCTTTAGACCCCTTCCATTTCGTCTCCTGTATACAGCAGATGCTGATGCGTCTTCTGAGCAGCACTTCGCTTAATTCTAAGCTGCGTCCTGTCATGGAGCCCACATTCCAACTGGCTATGCGGACTTTTGGCATGTGGGCTGCGTGGTTCTTCTCGTCGCTTTGGGGGCACGCCCTAGTATTAATCGCATTTTCTCGTATCTCGCCGTGTGCGTCGCTTCCGGGGGACGCCCTAGTATTAGACCGTTTCTTATTATTGTTGTAATTCATGATTAGGAGATTGTAGATTGGCTTGTGGTTTTACGGCCGGTTGCCACCTGACGCCAAGACAGTAACCCCTCTTGCTCACTGGGGCTTAGGATGCCACCGTTGGCTTTTGCTCTTCCGCCGCCATCCTCTACACGACGTCCTGCCTGACGCCGCTGCCCTCCATCGACCCGGTGTCAGAATACGTCCAAGCGGCTCGACGGAGGGGGTGCCTGTTGGTCCGCGAGAGGTATTTTATTTCCCTCTTGCCCTCCGACACTTCTACTAAAGCGCCGACGAGCTTTCCCCTATCCGCCACCCGGGGAACTTTGCAACATCAACCATGACAAAGAAAATGACAATAAAGTTAAAACTCTGTTTTTTTTTTTGACATTTTTTCGTGGATTTATTTCGATTTTTGGTTCCCGACGTTTCAAGTGCAGCAATCATGTCATCAGCCGTGACCAGCTGATGACATGATTGCTGTAAACTGTAAAACATTCGAAACGTCAGAAACCAAAAATTAACATAAATCCGCAAAAAAACCCGAAAAGATAGTTTTATTTAAAAAATCAGTTTTTTATCTATATTTTACATAGAAATATAATTTATAAGCACTATATAAACGTTCATTTGATGTATTTATTGCTTTAAAACTAATTCAAAACAATATTCAACTTAGTACAATAGTGTCCGAAATTCAATCCATATTGAACAGTGCTTCGAATAGAAATAGTTGTGAAACCATTAATGTAAGGCAATCATCCAGAGCGTCCAGACAGACTTGGGAATGTTATCCAAAATAGAATATTAAATAATAATTGAGGAGCAGATATTTCGATTTTAGTTTAATATTAACATTGAATTTACTAAAATATTTATTTATTTAGTTGGAAACTTGTAAGTGGTTTTAAATTAATGTTTCTCACATTTAAATATAAAAAAGTAAAACATAAAGTAATAATATACATCTATCTATTCAGCCCTTTTTAAAGTCCACTGCTGGGCACGGGCCTCCCTTCAATACGGGGGGATCAGGCCATAGTCCACCACGCTGGTCAAGTTCGCGTTGGCGGACTTCACATCTCTTTTGAAAACTTGTTAAGTTCTCTCAGACATCCAGGTTTCCCCAAGATGTTTTTTGATTAGAAATGATTCGCACATGAAAATATCAGAGGTGCGAGACCTGGTATTTGAACCCACTTCACTCTGTTTCCCAAGCGAGCGCGTTAACACTTAGCACACCGACTTCGAAAATATTTGATTAGGTATGTATAGTAAATGAAAACTACCAATCAGTTATTTTTTACTTTTTAGTGCTTTTGTTTGAAGTCGGTTGTATTTTTTTTTGTTAAAAAGTTTTTAGACAAATATTGATTGTTTTTAAATTTCATACTTTTAATTAACCACTTGTAAATTCTACTAAGTCAAGTTAAATTTCACTAAATCACAATAAAATAGTAGCCGAAGTTAACTTTATACATCCAAGCTATTGTTAGCTAAGCTGCATTCCGAACAGGTTCTTTTTTTAGTGTCGGGAAATGCATTTATGCATACCAACCACCTGATCCCCCAGGTGGTGATGTGGGGCTCACCGGCTAGAAGAGCCGGTTCTACCCACTAAAACCCAACATCCCTTCCCCCCGCCTTAGTGGGAAGTTTTTTTCTTCATTGAAAAATCGATGGAGTAACAGATTTATGTATAGTGTGATGTATGTTGTGTGTTCATTGTATAGCTGGAGAAAGACATAGACTTTTTGTAGTTTCTCTGTTAATCTGTTTCTTTGAAGAGTCAGTAAGTTAGTTGAAAAGATTTAATTGTGGAAATCTAAGTTAAACCATAAAACTAATATTGTACGGTTGGAAATCCTCGATTTGCGAATCAGATTCGAACTTTTTTGATTTTTTTAATACATTAAACACATCCCCCCTATAGATAGATCTTCATATCCTTTGCAATCTTACATTAAACAAAAATGTAGATTAATCTGGCAATTTTAAATTAAATAAAAAACACATCGTACGCAACTCTGAATTTGTTGAATTTGAAAAACCCGTCAAATCAAAATAGTTATAAAAGTTTTCAAGTATCACGAAGCGAGTCAAATGCTGAAATTCAAAACAAAAATATGCACTCATAGCTCACAGGGTGAAAGTTGGCGAATGAAAATTAATGAAATTCTCCAGCTGGGACAGTCTTACAAAGGCTGCCCGCGACCAAACGAGCTGAGGTGCGTTCGGGATGTGGCATTGACTGGAAAGGATATTTTGAAGGAATTATTTTATATTTACATACTAGTAACTTACTCTTGCATCGTTCAAGAGTGAACTTAGGTATCTTATAGTAGCATACATGTACATATGTCGCTTGAGGTCATCTGTGTACTGTGCCATAAACTTCATCTAAATTTGTGCAGCCATTTTAGCGTGAAATCGAATTATATATATATATATATATATATATATATATATATATATATATATATATATATATATATATATATACAAACTTTCTTTCGTATACATAATACATACATAATATACCAATTTACAAAATATTATTATTAGGTAGTGCGTCATATTCAACGACAAAATTTCTAAACTGGTATATGTAGTTCTTAATTCGTTTTTTCTTCTTTTTTAACTTGCCCAAAAGCGAATAATGCTTTTTAACGTAGCACAATCACCTCAATTTGCATATGTTTCTTCTATCTTGACAACGAAAAGTACAAAATGTGTCAAGCTCCTGACGATGAGAAGGACACTATGTACGTTACTAATTATCGTATTTTTAGTAAGTAGTTCCCGTGGAATTGTATAAATAATACCATACAAATAGAAAAAATAAAAATTGTCCGGTCAATATTAGGTAGGTAAGACTTAAGTTGACCATAGACACAAAATTGTAATATTGACATTTTATTCTCCTTATTAAATACATTTACATGGTCATTGCATTATTTAATACTAGCATTGCCCGCGGCTCCGCCCGCGTTTAGATGACCGAAAGCAAATTCTTAGGTTTTACATATTAGTATTGGTGCAGCAACGATCAGCCAAAAACTACGGCGGTCTTCAAATAATACGTAGACTATGTCGAATTACGTTTATTTTCGTGTTTTACAATGGTTCGTTCGTATATAAAATATGTTCGGAGCGTTACGCGTTAACAAAGAGAATGAAAAGATTTGAATTTCTACTAGTCACTATCTAATTAATGTCTATGACTTGTCTATGATGTTACACACAAAAAATAGACACCGGGAAAATCACCGTAGCGCCACACAACGGCCAACGGTGGTAACTACTTCAAGTTCCATAGGCAGTTGCCTCTTACTTACTCTTATATTGCAGTTTTTGTATTTTTTCTCAGAAATGAGATATTTTACCGCTGTAAAAAGTAACCTATATGTTGACCCGGATAACCAGCTATCACCATACCAAATTTCATCTAAATCTCTCCAGTGGTTTTTCTGTGATGCGGTAACAGACAGACAGACAGACAGACAAAAATTCTAAAAACTGTAGATTCGGCCTCAGTATCGATAATAATGTTTATTTCAATAAGATTTTCCAAAAAATATTTAATGTACAGATTCGGCTTAGTTACAATTATATTATATGTACAGATAAGCTTCTGTTAGAAATTACTGTATTTAATTTAATTGTTGTGTCTATTTAAAGTAACCCATAGACTCTCCATCCTAATTAGAACATATCTAGTCTGTCTAAGGCAAACCGAAGAAGCCAGATAGTAATTTACCACTTGGCTCGAAGTTTCCCTCGATGAGTTCGCTCGACTGACCCACTGCAGTTGCACCGCGCGAGTTTAATAAACAAATAATTACCGTTGACAAGTTTAGAGGTTCTTGAATTTTTCTTTCATTTGTTGTACCGCAAATTGTAGGTCCTTTTTACTTCTCCAGTGGTCTAGAGTGGCCTAAGGTTTCTTTTTTTCGTTTTTAGCTATCCAGTTGTGTTTATCATTGTATTTTATTGTTTAAATAATACAGAGTTTTTGTACTAAAACTGTAGTTCACAAGTTTCAAATAAAAAATGTATGATTAAGATGTATGATGAAACTCGTCAGTACTTACCGCTTAAACTTTATAAATTTACATATAGTGCAGCGCGTGTGAGTGAGAGCGCAGACACAAGTGCACTCTCTATTCCTGTCACTCTCATACTCCGATGGGACGACTACACGACACGACCAGCGAGAGTAAAGGCGCAGGACCGACGGCTTTACATGCTCTTCGAGGCACGGAGGTGAAACACCACCAACTTCCCAACTCCGGGCTGTTACTGAGGCTTACTTAACAAACCCGGGGGAGAAGCCAACTCCTACCGGGCGCGTCCCCAGGTGGCGGATAGGGGAATGCCACCCGCGTAGGGCGGCGGGTGGTACCGGAGAAATCCGGCGCGGACCAAATGGCTTGGATGGGGCCGCTCGTCTAGGCCTCGAGCCGAAGACGTTGCGGCCACCGGTGGTGAGACCGCTTGGTCCCACAACCGGATGATGGGTGCCGGTTGCGGGACTGTGGTCACAGGCCCGCATTCGGCGGAGGGGTAGGCCGCGGCGGGAGAGGAGTGCCGGTATTTCGGTGCGCCGTTCTCCCTACCTTCCGCGGCCTAGACGGGGCCGCCACCGTTTGATGGCGGACGCGGTGGGGCTGCAGGGGAAGAGGAGTGTCGGTGTTTCGTTGCCGCTCTCCCTGTCCTCTGCAGCCGATTGGAGGTGGCCCACTTCGGTGGGCGGAGTTTCGGTTTATTGGGGCTGCTCCGGGTACCTCTCTGGTTTAGCAGAGTTGACTGTGGAGCAGCCCCATCGGTATGGTGGTCAGCCGTTGGCAGACCTGCCGCCGGGGCGCCGTAGTAGTTATGCGCAAGCGATCCTGCGGCGTCCCATTAAGGCGGAGGGGAGGGGAAAAAAAAAAAAAAAAAAGGCTTACTTAACAAAAAGCCTCAACAACTAAACTTGGCCTGACCCGAAACTCAAACCCATGATCTACGGATGTGCAGCCACACTTGCTAGCCACTATACCACCGAGGCAGTTACATATAATAACAAGTATACAAAAAGAAGGGAAAAATTTCACATGAATTACGACTTATTTAGGCAGCAGACTCATAATGTCACATAATGGCTTTTCAATTTAGTACGAAATGCCGGCGAGATCCGTTCGCGAATGACAATAACCTTTATTAAAAGCTTCGACGAAAATATGGCAATCAGATGGGGGGACAAAAATATTCTACGCTCTGTAAGCTTTTATAATGTAGAGGGTGAGCTTTCGTGTCGTTTTCGCGTGCTTGATAAAAAAAACGCAATTTATTTTCATGTAATAGGAGGTTCATATTCGCAGTAGAATGTAAATAATCATGCAGATTGGGTTTTTGCATTGAGGAAGTTTACGGGTCACATGCGGTCGTACAATATTTTTTTATGCCGGCACATCAATTTGGCTTTTCAAAAAGTTTTCTAGAGTTATTAATTCTATAATATTATAACTATATTTTAGCTATATTTTGAGGGTTTTGAAATATACTTATCTTTTCGTTGTCTGAGAGCGCTCACATCAAGTCACTACGTCGCTTTTTGGTGAAAGCACATAGTTGATAAAACATCTTTCGTACCGTATTACGGGCCAAGTAGTCTGTTTTGATCCTAACCCTTAGGAGTGAAACAAATATATATAAATAAACTATCAGAACCCGCGGCTTCGCCTCCTTCTTCTTCGACTTCGCTCGAGCTAAAACTACAAAAAAATCTTTAAAAAGGTAGTTTCATACAAATTTTCATCCTCTATTTCATCCTCTTATAGGATGAATTTCGAAAAATGCTAAAACACATATTTATTTAATTTTATTGAAGAGCATTAATACCAAGTTACAAGTAATTATGATTATAAGTATTTTTTTGGATTGTATTATAACTTGTTTTCCCGCGGGAATTAAAAAATCTCTCGCGGTAAAAAGTAGCCTATATCATTCTCTAGCCCTCCAAATGTTTCCACACAAAAAATCAAGTCTATCCACCACTCCGTTTCGACGTCAAAGAAAGACAAACAAACAAACAAGCAAGCAAACAAACAAACAAACACACTTTCACATTTAAAATATTAGTACGGACTATGCAAGTGGAAGCACGGACAAAAGCTACTACGATTTTGTTTTTATTACACGTTTATTACAGAATAGGCTTAACTGCGTAAACCAGTTAAAAATTGCCAATATTTTTCTGTTTTATGGTCGGATGACTCGTGGAGGTCTAAAGGTCCCCCCATTCGTCTGGATTTCGTACGACGCGTCAGGTGTTTTATAATAGTCCTACGAACGCTGAGCCTCGATTAATAAGAGTAATTTAGATAAAGTCATTGGAAAATTTTTAATACACTCCAATTTGTTAATGAATCGCTTTAATGCCAGCTATTAACTATAGAATCATATTGATATATAGTACATGATCATTAAAAAATCCGATGTGCGTCTTGTTTTTTGTTTACTTATGCTACCTGAATAGTTCTTAGCTAAAGATAGATATCTAGATTTAGTTTTGGATTAGGTTAAATGGTAGTACTGTGTCTGTCTACAGGATCCGCTAGTATAATAGGTACCTAAAAAAAAGTAAATTTAAGTTATTTTAAAATACCTATCCGATATTGAATTCGGTCATAGATATTATACTTTTACGTATAGTTTTTACACTATAAAAGGTCTAAATAATAACTTACATATGTGTTTGTATGGTGAGTAATCTTCGGAGCGTCTTAGTCAATTTTAAGGGATTTTTTACTGATTAAAAAAAAAACTGGCAAAATTGACAATATAATCTTTTTTTGTATCATAACATTCGTGTGGAGTAGCGGATGAAAGATACTCGTAAAAAAGATAATCCATACTAATATATAAATGCGAAAGTAACTCTGTCTGTCTGTTACCTTTTTACGCTTAATCCGCTGAACCGATTTAGACGAAATTTGGTATGGAGATAGTTTGAGACCCTGAAAAGGATATAGGATAGTTTTTATCCCGTAAGTCATCTCTTAAGGAGATGAAAAGGGGGTTGGAACTTTGGGGAATCAAGCATTTCTCAAGTAAGGGTACAAAACTATATAGTTATATATTTTATATATACATCTTAGCTATCTGTATAGTCTATATATTTTATACTAACTGCCATAAGGTATCTAGGGATGGACCCAAGCGAAGCGAGGGTGAGTCAATAGTAATAGAATAAAAAGAAAGATAATAAAAAAGTAGAAATGTACCTAACAATTTTTAATTTAATTGTATGAAAAAATCACTTTAAACTAAATCTATTTGAATTCAACATACTGCATTAAAAGCCTTTCATAGCGGCTTTGTACACAAGTTATAGTTTTATATTTTCTTCCTAAAACTATATTTACACTCGACAAAACAGAAACGTACGCTCGTTGAATATATAATAATTTAAATTTTATAATATTTCATGAATATTTGATAAAGTTTTTCGCTCTAATTTTAATATTTTTATCAGAACAAAATTTTTCGAGGAACAATTTACATACGAAACTCATAATGTCTGGCAGCGCAACAACCACTCAGCACTTGGCAAGCCCCGCGAAAACTTATATTTTGAAATATTGTTATCGAATTATAACACTTAAATTGATGATTTTACTTGTATTTACTTTATTTTATTAATAATATCTATTTATATACAATATTTTCTTGTATATAGAAAAATTACATAATTATTATTATATTAATTATATATTATGTTTTAAGTATAAATTTTATTTCTCTTCCTTTACTAAATACTGCATTTAAGCACAGAATAGATAATAGTACGATATACTGGTACTTTAAATCGAATCAACTTATTAGAGGTCATTGACCCCGATATTTGAAATTATACCTTTTTATACTGATTAAAAAATATACCTAAATACAGAATACTAACAAGTAACCAATGCAAAATATAATTTTATACCATCACGTAATTTTTCTCATTTAATTATTTATATGTAGCTTTGCTATAAACTTTTCTCAGGCGCTTCAAAAAATGCTTAATAATATTATAATATTCTGAATAGATATAATTTCTCCACTCAACCTGATTTCACAGGCAACGTTAAACCCTTCGCAAGCATTAAATATCGCAACTGCTAACGTAATATATCCAACAGTGTCGTGTTAAGAAAAAAAGATAAGTGAAAGTGTACAAAAACTTAGTGTGAGTGTTATACCAAAAACGAGTATGTTTTTGCACCGGACAGGATGATTTGGATGTTGGATCCGACAGTGTATCAGGTGGCAATGTCGCGGGGTGCGGGTGTTCCACCGCGCTTATCACTAGATAAGCGGGCGGTTGATAACAGACTAGCACACGTTAGCGAGCCATCACCGTGACCAGGCCGCTTGGAATCCAGCGGCCGCCGCCCGCAATGCTGCAATCGTTGAATGCTCTCGCCGGCAAAATATCGCCGGGCGGCGGCCTCGACTCGAATGCGAACCGACACTCGCATCCAAACAGAAATCATAAGGCACTACCGTACTCGAAGACGAAGTAAGTGAACCGTTTATATTATACTAATATATTTCTTTTGCCTAAATGTATAGGTAATTAGCTAGGAAATCAAAAATAAGCCTATCCCACGGGATCCGTACATTTTTCCGAGCTAAAAAGTAGTGTTGTGTTATTCCTGACTATAATCTATCTCTGTGCTCTGTGCCAAATTTCATCAAGATCCGTTCAGCCGTTCTGGCGTGAAAGAGTAACAAACATACTCACAAACTATCACATTTATAATATTAATACGGATTATTCAAGATCTAATCTAAAAATAGTATTGAATGGATGTTAAAAAAATTTGTTCGAATATGTACTTAATAATTTAAGTTTTTAGTTTATCTTTTAGTGGGTTTGTGGACGCTGTTTATCAATTTTCGGTATTTTTAACTGATAAGCGATGTTTTTGATAATTTTATTCTAGTCTAGGTTAGTTTAGGTAATGAATAATGATATTTTACTATTTCTATTATTGTATTTTCATATTAAATCAGTGCTCTTACAACGACTGTGATAAGTCCTTAATAGCTCCATTATCGTTAGGTACATAATAATATAGTGCTGGCGTATGCGCATACGCATCACGATTCATTATATAATTTAGAAGTGTATAATTCTGAGTTTTTGTCTTTAACTAAGTTTTAGTGATGTATTTTTTCTTAAAACTCAAAATGCTTATATTTCCTAACTTTTTTTATATTATCATGTAGATAAAAGTAACTCTCACTTAAAATTTATTTTTATTAATTTCTTAAAAACTTTAAACAAGTCTTTAATTTCATACTTAATAAAAAAACCTATAGGTATATTATACTTGTTCTATATAATGAGATATAAATACAACATAATGTAACATAAAATTTTACGTATTTACGTACTTATTTTTTTTAACAAGTTGAATATAAATTTAGTCACAAAAAAAAACAACTGTTATTTGGTGCAAAATTTTCCGTATGAAAATGAGCATAATTTATTATAATTTTACAGTGCTCATTCGTTTTTTTTTTCATATATTTTGATTAATTACTATAATTTTTTTTAAACTAATAACTTTTTTGTATTATATTGTTTTATATTTGATATGCATCTGTAACAATTTCCTAAAAATATAGAAATATTTATTAACTTTCCCATATTAGATAGATACATCAACCTACACATTTCTCCACATACTAGATACTACTACTACTACAGACATAGATTTAAATCTTTGTCAGAGAGAATTATTATAACATTATTTATATAACATTATAATAATACAAATTATTATAATTAATACTAAGTAGATATGGTTTAAATACGTGGAATTTCAATGTTAAAGTAGAACTTCACGTATCTATACAGATAAATACAATTGAAGCGTATGTTTGTAATGTCAAAATAACAGCTTTTCTCTGTCTGCCTGTTTGTTTCGGCTAATCTCCGAAACGGCGGGACTGATTTTGATGAGACTTTCACTGGCAGATAGCTGATGTTATAAGGAGTAACTTATGCTACTTGTATTTTAGATAAAGAATTAGGGTTCCGTCCAAATAAATAAAACATTACTAGTGAAGCACCCGAGCAAAGAGAGTCTAAGTTGCTAGTGTTCAAATACAATATGTACTTAGAAAAGATGCTTTAGTAACGTTTCTGGGTCACGTGTTCGCAAACAAAGATTAACCAATGACTTATTCGCTTGGGTCATCTTGACTTAAGCCTTAAATGTTGTAATCTATTTGTTGATAAAAGATAATGAAATGATGCCAACATGTTAATATTATACTTGCTTTTCAACTTGTTGTTCATTTATAAATAACTAGCAGAACCCGCGGCTTCGCTCGCGCTAAAACTACAAAAAAAAACTCTAAAAATATAGGTTTCAAACCAACTTTCATCCGCTATTTTACCCCCTTATGGGATGAATTTCGAAAAATCCTAAAACAGTTATTTAATAAATTGTATTGAAGAGTATTAATACCAAGTTTCAAGTAATTCTGATGATAAATTTTTTTTTTTGGATTGTATTAGAACGTGTTTCCCGTGGGAAAAAGATAATCTCCCGCGGTAAAAAGTCATATGTCACTCTCCAGCCCTCCAACTATCTCCATACACAAAATCATGAAAATCCGCCAAGCCGTTTCGACGTGAAATAAAGATAAACAAATAAACAAACAAACACACTTTCACATGGATTTTATGTAGTAAAATATTTATATACCTAGAGGTATAAATTGAACTTTTGAAATTCAAAATGGCGTTTTAAAGAAAGGGCTTCTATAGTTTGAGGTACCCAATTTTTTTTATTTGATTAATATATGAAAGTTTTTAAATAGTTGTATCAGGCAATATATTTTAAAAATGAAAATATAAAACACAATATATTACGATCCAACGCTCTTACATTAATTCGAAGCAGAAATATATGCTAGAAAATTACTCTATCCTGTAAAGCAAGAAATACTTATTACAATTTTCACATATCAAATATCCTTTCATATGGCAATATTATATTTTTATATAATAACATTTTTTACATATTATATAGTAATATTACTTGTAATAAAAATTATTTACCTTGTATGGAGATTTTGTCAATTGTTTGGAATCAACATGATTTTACGTTTGCAAAATTCATTTAAATCTGAATTTCTACAACTTAATAGAGCGCTGGTTAAGTTAAAATAAAATAAAACAAAGTTTCCAATGGCATTAAAATATCATCCATGCGCTTTCTCAAGGAAACTGATTCTTTTCTTAAACATGAAAAATTTTAAATATTGAGTAGAGTAACGAGTATGGTATGGTATGGTATGTTCGGGCTGTTTTCCGCAGCTCGACGACTATGCGCCTATTTTGCGTGTGTGGGAAATTAACTTCTTGTTACTCTTGCCACCCCAGTTCCTCCAGGAACTTCAGCAACCTCTTCGTCTTGCCGAAAATTTCCGGAAGTGACCCATAGAGTAACGAGTAATAACTTAATCGAACAAAGTTTTTTTTTCTTTCCCAAATCCAATGAAATAATAGAAAGAATGCGTATTTCAATTAAAACTACAGAATTAAGAGTTAAATGAAGACATTTTAAGATTAAAATGTCACTCTGTGAATGTGAAAAAACAAACACAAACTTTTACATAACATTAGTAAAATATCTAGCGTATTACCGTCGCTTCGCTCAGGTGCTTCCCTAGTTACGTTTTATTTTTTTTAAGCGGAACCGTTATTATTTTTCTAAAATAAAATTAGCCCAAGTAACTCCTTATAACAAGAGCTATCTGTTAGTGAACGTCCCGTTAAAATCAATCCAGTCGTTTCGGAGATTAGCCCGAACAAACAGACAGACGGACAAAAATTTAAAAAATTGTGTTTTTCGTATAAGTTCCTTATATATTTCATATACATTTAGTAAAAGGCTGTTATTTTTATATTAAAAACAGAGCATTTTATTTATCTATACAGATTAAGCACCCACTTATTATAATTGCTTAAGATTGACACTTGTCGACCCTTATTAATTCCCCGTGCACGTGACATAGCTAATAACGCTCACCCGTCGCACACATCACCCGTCTTATTTGTTATACTATATTAGTATTAGGTATATTAGTAAGTACATATAGGGTGTTAACTAACCTATACATAAACTAGGTACATATTGAGAGTGATGTGTCATGTAGCGCGTTGATATAATTAAAGCCCAAACCCGACACAGTTTCTAATTTCAATTATTATAATTATTGAGCATTTCCACTATACACGGTAATAATATATGGAGCTTAGCAGTATGAATCAAATGAGTCCACTTGGAGGTTTTGCTACTGGCGATTGAAGAGTTTCTTTAACCATCTTCAAGTTTCATCATCAGATCAGCTCGATGATAGTTAAATTATTGAAATAAAAGCTTGGGAGTAAATGATGATTGCTTACTTAGTATTTAATTGATAATTGATTTACTTGTAATTGATTGTGTCATCATCAGAATGACGATGCTTTGATTTTATACCGACAAGCGGATATAATGATGCATCTAGAAGGTGGATAACTCTTCAGTAGCCTTTACTAAGATCTTCTGAGATTGGGCTCACTTAGTTCATTTTGACCAGTACCATATATTACTGTTAGTCTAAAGTACCTATGTGTTTTTCTAAAGTACACTATACTAATATTATCACATGAGATTTTTCTTCACAATAACATGGTTTTTGAATTTTTTTTTTGCTATTTTTTTTCTAAGATAAGAGTAGCCTAAGTTACTTCTTATTACAACAGCAATCTGCCAGAGAAAGTCCCGTCAAAATCGGTTCGGCACTTTCGGAAAATTAGTCGAAACAAACAGACAGACAGACAGACAGACAGACGAAAAGCTATTACTTTAACATCACAAACAGACACTTCAATCATATTTATTTGTATAAATAGCGATACATATTAGTTTATTTTGAATCCCTACGGAACAAGAAAATTAATTTACATTAAATATTCCATCTATATACGACTACAAATTTTTTCAAATAAATTTTGCTCAAAATTTTATTTGTATTTGATTTTCTTATACGATTCCTTCATAGTACCCGCATAGCTATCTTAAAGGAAGGATGAAATTAATAAAATAATACAAGAAACGATGTCAAACAAATACCCATTATTAATTTCGTTATTATATTAATATTCTCCACGTGACTTATAGCTCTCGCCCGTCACAAATGTCACTTGGTTTATTTGTTCTTTATATTATATCAGCGGCGGTGCGTATCTAATGCTAACTGTACGCTCGTATCGTATACAACCTTCCAGTGAAAGCAGATTGCTATAAAATATAAAGATGTTGTTATGTTGTTGATTCCAAGCTATATCTTTTGCAAAGTCAATAGAATCAGTTAATTTTTTTTCCACTTTTACTAATTTTTATGTGATATATTCAGAACCCCATAAAAGTTTGTAAAAACCAGTTTTAGTTTTCTAAAATAAAAAAAAAATATGATTATAATGTATACTAAATATATAATATATAATGTATT